TCGTCTGTCTCAGCATGAGCCGTGGGAAAGTTAGACAATGACAGTATTGTTTAGACCGATGATAAATATATGTTGCAGGACATGTTCAAGGAACTGAATGACTTGACACCAACATTCTATTCTATTTTTACCATCCTTTTACCTCTTTTTTTTTTGCTATGTTCGCATAATCGGTGCGGGTCTAGTTCTTGTGTTCATGCAAGGCTTCCCTTCTTACTAAAATAATGATGCTCAATCGGGTGATATTCATTTTTCATAGGTGGGACCCACGCGTCGGCGCCTGCTGCTCCAGCCTTGGCCTTGCTCCCGCAAACCCGCAAGAGCACGCACAGCTCCCCTCCGTCGCTCCCATGTTCTCCCATTGTGTCGCCGCCGGGCAGAGTGGTTATTAACGACGTTTAAACTATATCAGGTTGGCTCCAACCACTAGCTTGTGAGACGCATTCGACAATGAGGTCCATCCAGTTGGAGTCAAAACCCAGCTTAAACATAATACTTCTCAAGAAATTCCACTCCACCTGGTCATATGAATTGTGTATATCAAGTAGACTAGACCCCTATTAAGGCTAACTCTCTGTCCTAATCACATTATGACTAGTGGGCCCTCTGCTTAATACATCAATTAGAAAGTTGTTCATGCAATAAAACACGAAAATAATATATTAAGAAATAGAAAATACATAAAGATCATAGATTGTTTTCGTATTACTCCTATAAAGGATGAGTACCCGCCTCCCTTGGCTCTTCGCCGATGAGAGTGCCCTCCTAACCGTCCGTTGCCCGTTGGCTTGCTATGGGAACCGCTCGGGTGTGCTCCAAGCCATCTGATCTTCCCGGGCGGCTCTGACCCGGGCGACCCAGCTAGCAGGTCCATGACGGGTGGATAGCCCAACACACTCGAGGCCACTAAAATTGGGCGGCATCGGGTGCACACGTGCGTGGGGAACCGCACGTGTCGCACACGAGATGGGCTGGCCGGACCTGCCTGATGGCGCCTGTTGCCGGGTGGCTTGCCACAGGAGCCTTTTATTGGCGATGCAAGCCGTTCGATCTACCTGGACTGCTCGCGCCGGGGTGACCCAGCTGGGAGGTCCAATGACGGGTGGACCACCCAGGGCCACCGATGTTAGGCGGCATCCGACGCACACTCGGGTGAGGCACCGAAGCCACAGGGTCATGTCGCTCGTGTGACATTGCCGTTGCCTGACTGGCACGACCGGACCAGGCTGAGAGGCTCTCCGAGCCGTCCGTGTTGTGATGGTGTGCCATGAGGGCCTCTCGAGGTCTCTCCGCATAGTCCAGTCTCTCGCGCGGTGCCCCATGCCGGGTGGACCGGCCGGACCCACTTTTCGGTGTCCTTGGCTAGCGCTGGGGTGGTTCGGTCTTGATAGTCAGGCCTGTGCGCGCGGTTGGCTGGGTGGCGCGTGTCGGGTGGTCCAAGAGGGCCATCCGACCAGTTTTCACGATGGCGGGTCACACGGTCATGAGTTCTGGCAAGAGACCAGGTAGGTGAGCGCTCGCCCGCATCTGACTGACCGATGTGCTTGGCTCGCGTGAGTTTTTACCCGGCTTTGGCTTGTCGGGTTAATTATGAGGTGGGGAGTTTTATTGCCGCTTTTTCCTGGGCTACGTTTTCCCGGATCCATCACGGGCCCTAGCCGGCTGGTGTCCGTGGGATTGGATGGGACATGTAACATCGGTAACTTGATCGTGCAGAGTTGGAATGCCTCATGAGCATTCCGGCCTTTTCTTAAAGTTAGTTGTGCTCTGGTTTGTAGGATGATTTTCTCTAAATTTGCAGCTTATGTACCGCTTGTGATATTTTGGATGACTTTCGGGTGAGCCGATGTAATTGGATGCGGCGTATGTCAATAGGAGAACAACACAGTGTTTAATGGGTGAGGCGCATTCAATAATATGTTCCATCCACTTGGAGTCAAAACCCAGCTTCAACATAATACTTCTCGAGAAATTCCACTCCACCTGGTCATATGAATTGTGCATGTCAAGCCTGACATAATATAGACAAGACTGCCCTTTCCGTTTCTTCTTTGTTGTGTGATACCACTTGTATGCCACCAAATCATTATCCGTAATCATGCACCATGGAACGGAAGTGCTCTGTTATGGCGAAAATTATCTCGCGCAGCATACTCTTCAAACAATTAGCAGCATTTTTTTTATTACTTCGTAAACTACATTGTGTGAAGAAAATGGCCAGAACCGGACTTACGGATTTGGGGTTATCATATTTTGGAATAGAAACCACCATCTGACGGTTACGTCCTCTGAAATCATGCCTGACTTGAGTGCTTGTAACACATTATGGAGTCATGGAATCATCTGGATAGCACATTTGGTTCATATACAAAAACATTAAGCATCAACAAGCATGGATTATTTTCCTCATGCTTTTGCCTGGCCCTTGATTATGCTGCTCCATTTTGTTGCTTGCTTGCTTAATGCTTGACTTGAGTGAATTGTTATAGGAGTTAAATTTGCATCTTGGAGCACTCCCACTCTTCCTGCGCTAACACTTCCAGATAGGTGATGTAGTTTAGATGCGACCATACAAGAGAACGGTATGTAGAATTCGACAAAATATTTTCTATGGAGTTCACTATCTTCGGTAGCTGCTCTGTGGATAATCAGTGCAAATGTGAATGGTGTGTTTGTTACCGTTTGGTCATACTTGTTCAGCTCACCTTGAGAATGAGCGTGTAGCTTTCACAGGTGTCTCTCTCATGTGTTTCACATTCTTTATACACCACACTGCTTATACTATTCAGTATTCCCCATCCCAAAATAATTGTCTCAAGCTTAGTACAACTTTCTATTAAAGTTAGTACAAAGTTGAGACACTTATTTTGGGATGGAGGGAGTATTATATATGTTTGATCGAAGAGCACACGCGAACTTGTCATCGGTGCTATACCATATGCAGCACTGTTTATTTTATAAAATCATGGAATCATATACATAATCTGATCAACCTCCCCAGTATAGGATATGTGTACACTGGACTTCTCCCTAACAACGAAAAACAATATACATGACACTAGGCCGACAAGTGGTACCAGTAACCTGTGTGATGGACTTTGTTTCAAACACTCAGTCATCAGACCAGGTGATGCCCTCCATGCCGACGTTCTGGTCGAGCCCCAAGGCATTCCACACCGCAGGAGATGCGTCGACGATGTTGTTGGCACACGGGGGCTCGTAGTTGTGGTCGTCGTCACAGCCATAGACGGAGTCGCACTCGTCCACCACCTTGGCATACACGGAGTTGCCATTGGCGGTGATCTTGATGCGGTGCCCGCAACGGGCCATGTTCTTGAACCAGCCGGTGGAGAGCGCGACTACCATCTCCTTGTCACTATGGTAGGCGTTGTCACACTCCGATGGACCGCCGCCGTCCTTGCCCTTCTCGAAGCTGTTGAGCGTCAAGACGGCCTTGGTGGTCGCGGTGACCGGCGGCGAGCAGTGGTACTGCGGGTATCTCTTGCCATCCTCACAACAGTCAGGGTCATTGCTCTTCTCACAGTTGCCCGACTTTCCTGGAAGGTAGCCACTCGCACGGCAGACACCGAGACTCGGGCGGAGCGAGGACGCGATATGGGAGGTGGAGAGCGCCACCAAGAGGAAGATTGCCATGGTGGCCAGAGCTCTTGCAGTGGCCATCTTACCTTTTGAACACTCTTGAACTGTAAACGCCCTCTTCTTCTTCTTCTTCTTGGTTGCTACAACAGTACTGGTTTGTTTGCCTCTATTGCTTGTGTTGTGTGGTTAGAGGGCTGCAGGGTCTACTTTATATAGTAGTGCTTCTGCTAGATCAGTTATGGTCACCAACTTGTTGCATGTTCTCCACGGCAAATCATTGATGAGTTCAGACATGGCACTGGTCCGTAACGTATCAAATGGTTTGTTGTAATACTATACTACTAGATCGGATGTATATACGACCCCGTCCCATAATATAAGAACATTTTCAAGCTAAAACAGCTTGAAAAACGTTGCTACATTACGGGACGGAGGGAGTACATCGTTTCTCACTGAGCATGAAAGACAGACAATGACAGGAAGGGTTACAATGAAAGACAGACAATGACAGGAAGGGTTACACCAGTGATAAAAATATTGTAGAACATGTTCAAGGAACTTAATGAATTGATAGCAACATCCTATTCTATTTCTACCGCCCTTTTACCGATTATTATTTTTTTGCAAGTTCGTGCAGGTCTCATTCGTGTGTTCATGCAAGGCTTCCCTTCTTACTAAAAAAATTGAGGTCCAAGACTGATTCGTGTGTTATTCAAAATGTTAGGAAACTAGATATCCTAATTCAATTTCACACAGAAGGAAATAAAATGTACAGCTTGAGGAGAACATATATAATGCTACCACCAGAGGTGCAGTTCCTTGCTGGTGCAACACATATTTTCGCCATTTGAGCAATTTACCTTGAGACCCCGCAGTTTCATCCTCAGAATTCATTGCCGCGGTAACATCTTACTTGGAACTTTAGAATCCTGCAGACCACCATTTGATTTGCCCGAATGTACGACTACACTGCATATTGCTCTGCTTAGACCCAAGCTGAAGAACAGGGCATGCTTGATTACTTGCATACATCTCAGTATCACAAACCGAGCTTTCGCTTGGATCTACAACTGCAAGGCTAGAACTGCAAGAGACACGCATCCAAATGTTCGATTTCGTCGAGTCTGAAGTCCTCCGGCGTCTTGTAAAATCAAGGTATACCCACCCAATTTCCACTGCCGTTACATCCGAATGTGACCGGAATCAAAAATAGGATAATCTCGCAAAAAATAAGTCAGGACGTCTCTGCTCCTCCATACATACAGGTAGAATTTTCCGTTGTTGGACAGCCGCAACAGGTTTACTTCCTAGAACTTATTTCTCTAGCATGTGAGAGTATAAAGCGAATAGCCCTACAAACAAAGGGAAAACGCTCTCCCTCCATTCGCTGAAGATGGTCCTCAATTTGACTTGGTAACATCATGAATGGCGTTAGCTAAGTAGGCGACGTTGCCCGTCGTTACACCGGCCATGCTGAAAGAAGCGATGCAGAACAAGTTAATGTGAGGAGATTAGACCAAAGGCGCCAGCGAAATAAAGAAAAGCACGAAGAAACTGAATAGTTATAGTCGTTGTTAGTACCTTATTCTCCCGTTGCATGTCATGTAGATATGGTATTCACTTGTCAGGCGATCGACTTGTTCCGGTGTCATCCCACTGTAGCAAAACATTCCAATCTGCACGAATATAGAAAGCAGTTCTTACATATAACCAATAACCAAATTGCCAATCTCCAAAGAAAACAAAGTTGAAATGAATGCAGAGATTCCTGTCCAGCCAAAGATATCAGCGCCACACAGAAGGAGATTGGTCTGCATTAGTAGCATTACCTCAAGAGTTTAATCATGGAAGTTACTGACTCTTCCCAGTTTTAATTAAGACTAAAAGCTTGAATGCCACACCTTCATTTGTCAGATTGACTATAACCATACATAAGACAACTAATATATTATAAATTCACACTTCTAGCTGATTTGGAAAATTGTTAGGCCCAAAAAGGCCCTGACATATGTTTCTAGATGGTTGTTTGGCTCTCTGACATGGCTGTGACTTGCAGGACTGTATTGGCACCATAGACCACACATCATAGAATCATTTTCCCTATCTGAGTTTGCACAAGTGTGGAATCCGTAATTTCTTGAAGTTACATCAAATGTAGTCCCTGGTGAACAAAATTGTCTATAACTACAAGATTATGGTACCCCAGGGTGGCACCTTAGGATTGATAGCATTATCGCAACTATTGTACATCAGTGCAATTTGCATGCCACTAGTATCAAATTCAGAAATTCCATAGTGGCATTTATCATAGTGCTATTTACCTGATTGGTGACATGCTCCCATGATAAAGGTGAACCTAACTTTTCAAGATTCTCCCGAAGTGCCTTCCGCATTCCAATGATACGATCAGCCATACCCTAGAGACAACAAGAATTGTTAATAAACTACTTTCTTTACATACTCCATAGACTTCATTTAGGAGCTTTAAACGGTTTAGACAACTAATCAACAGTTTACCTTGACCTCTCCCAACCATACGTTTTTCAATTCTGGATCACTAAGGATAATTGAAACAACCAGCGCACCATGAACAGGTGGGTTGCTGTACATTGGTCTTGCAATCTGTTGCAATTGGCTCTTAACCGCAACTGCTTGCATCTCATCCTCGCAGAGGATACTGCAATGGCAGCAATCAAACGATAGCAACGATCATGATATGGCTACCATTTAGACAAAACACAATATACTCCCTCCGTTAGATTACATACGGAGCAAAATGAGCGAATCTACACTCTAAAATATGTCTGTATACATACGAATGTTGTCCATATTGAAATCTCTAAAAGGGCATATATTTAGAAATGGAGGGAGTATTTCTTTGACAGTCATAGACTTCGCTGCAGACAATACATAGGGATCATTCCCTGAAGTGAAATTTGTTTGGTCTTTTATTTGATTTCAAAACACGGTGTCTTGAGAAATCCAACCAGATATACTTATTTTTATTTTTACCAGAAAGCCACACTTAATTTTACAAGAGCATGCGTGAAGTTGGTCAGGAACATACACAGATACACTATTACTGAAACCAGGAGCTAGGTGATAGCATCATGACATACGTTTCAAGGATAACTATCAGTGATCAATAGGATACCTCAGACATCCCGCTCTCTGGCCATAAAGACCCATGTTCTTTGCATATGACTGAGCACATCCAATTTGGTGTCCATCTTCAAGGAATATACGGATTGCCTTGGCATCTCTCTCTGGATCACCGCTAGCAAATCCTTGGTATGCCATGTCAAAAAATGGGAAATGATTCTTCAACTATAGAAACACAAGAGTGAGATATGTAAACCATAACCGGTAGAAAACAGGAAGCCAATATACAAGTAACACAATTGTCTGTTATCTTCTCTTTCTCCTTACCTTGAACTGATAGGATATTTCTCGCCATTGTTCCTCAGTAGGATCTACTCCAGTAGGATTATGGGCACATGCATGAAGCAAAAAGAACGAACCATTTGGAGCATTCTGCACATGACACAGAAAATCAGAAGAAGAAAACATTAAATCCAAGTAACTATAGGAAAATACACACTGCCAACATGCCAGAATCACTTGGGAAATGGTGAATCTTTCTCTGTCGACTGAAACTATATATGTATGTAAAACGACTCAAGGTGAGAGACAGAATAAGTAACATGACAAGAAGTTCACTTGTTTTACAGCTACTTGGTTTTAAAAACGCATACAAAGTTAGATACAGGAATGAGCAACAATGCAAGATGTCAGGAAGAGCAATATATAACTAAAATGATACTCGAGAAATGGATCACCTTGATATCATCCATCAATCCTGCAAAGTCAAGCCCTCTCGATTCCGGATGGTAATATGAGAATGTCCTCTGTGGCACTTGAGCATCCCTCCAAATATTGTGATGGCTGGAGAAGTTCCCCACATTGATGTTAGCTACTGAGGATGTAAGGCAAGTGGGAAGACATCTGCTTAAAGAATCCCTTTTGACGCTATCGTGGCAGCTAGCGTAAGGTAAGATAAACTATTTCTCATACAAACCACAATGGTGTTTACTGAAGATCTTTTTTTTTTACTTAATATTATCTGAGGAGTGAACAAAAGAACAATTGGTGTCACAGCAGAGTATTAACTCACTTGGACCATGTTGGTGTAGGTATGTAGATCTGCGAATCCGGCAAGAAACGCTTCTGGAAATCAGCGAAGAGACGGCATGCGCCAGTTCCTGAAAGTGCCTGCACCGCTGCAATTCTTTTATCTTTGATGAACTCGGAGTCCTCGCCGTACGCCAGCTTTAGTGACTCCTCAATCATGTGCATACTCCCTCCCATTGGAAGGTACTCCCTGTTTTGCAAATTTAACCAAGATAGTGATCATAAGTTTGGAAACCAAAGCTCACGCAAATTGGCAACATCCACTTTCCAGTAGTTAAGCGTTTGTGTTTAATATTGATATGGTCTAGTATCAAGCAAAAGACAGCATGTATAGGATGACCAAACCATCTTTTTCAGGATAAAGCTGCCGAAAAGCATCATCTGAAAATTTCGATGTAGAACAATCCAAAATTGGTATCCGGCAAATAAGCAGAAAGTAACAAATGCTATGATTCGAAAATCTCATTGAAGGAGAAAATAAGAAAAACCGGCGCCACTACAAGATAATTTGGAAGGTTGTAGTAATTTCTAAACCGCAATGGTTTCTACCCCTGCTAGTAGTATCAGTTATCGATCAAACATCTAGCATGCTATTTCTCCCCAACCAGAATGAATAAGGTTCTTGCAACTAACTTGTGGATCAACAGGTGCAAAGCAAGCAAGCAGCTAAGACTCCCAACATGCTCAACTAGACAGAAAAAAAAAACTAGCATCAGCCATCACCTGGCAGGTGGAAATTTCATCGAACACTATCCGCGCAACTAGCAAGCTAGCAAGAGTGAGTGAGCAGATCAAGGGAAGCGGGAAGGGGATCTCACGCACATGTTGAGGTTGCCGGCGATCCGGCGCTCCGCCTCGCGCACGCAGTCGAGCACCACGGGCTTGCCGCTGTCGTCCCGGTAGGCGCCCTGCAGATCGTCCAGCCATTTGTCAGAACCAGCCGGCGGCGGCACTCGGATGGAAAGATTCCAAGCAGAGAAGGAAGCTAAGCTACGAGAGGGGCGGGCGAGCACGTACGACGCCGACGTTGACTTTGTCGGGGGAGGGGTCGGCGAGGAAGGCCTCGGTGACGCCGAGGATGGGGTCCTTGGGCGCCGGCTCGACGTGGCCGAAGAGCGACGCCATCGCCCGCGCCGGGAGCAGGGGCAGGGCCCCGCGCCGCCGGATCGCGGAGGCCGCGCGGCGGTACAGCGCCATGGCGGGCCGGCGAGGAGGGGGCGGCGGCGGTGAGATTCTTCGCCGGCCGGAGAGGGGGGGAGGGAAAAGGAAGGTGGGAGGAAATCTGTGGGCTGGTTGCGGCGGGCGGGCGGTGGTTTTGCAGGGGAGAGGAAAAAGGCGTTCCGTTTCGACGGATTCCTTCGCTGGCTGGTTTCACTCCACTGTTTTCAATTTTCACCGCTTCACTACTCTTCCTCGTTGACTCCACAGCTATACCTGGCCATCCCTCCGCCCGGGCCGGGCTTCGGGCCGGGCCTACCAAAGCCCGAAACGAAAAACCTAGGCCTGAGCCCGGCCGTCGGGCCTAAAAATCAGGCCCAATCCCATCCCATCACGCAAAAAGCCCGCCGGGCCTCTTCATTAAACTGCAAATATGATGGGCCTGGCCTGGCCCGGTCATCGGGCTCAAAATCTAGGCCCGGCACGTCGGCAAGGTCCGGCCGGGCTTTTTTGGAACGGGTCGGGCTGGCCATGGCCAGGTATAACTGCAGTCAATTTGCTACTGCTACTATTTCATTATAAATAACTATTGTACTAAAAAATTAGGAGCGGTGAGCAACGACGAGTCATGACACCAAATGTTCGTGGACATGTTCAGATGTGTCCGCGGACGATGAAAGGGACAGAGGTCATCCAACCCCAGGCATCAAATTCAAACAATGTGCTATGACTAATAGTGGGCTAGACGGTCTAAGGAAAAAAAGAGACAGAGTGGGCCCACAATTGCACATGGGCTGTGGAGGACGTGGTCCAACTAATAGCGCGCCAAATAGACTATTCTGACTCCTCCAAACCATCAGCACCATCAAGTTGTGATACCTCAATCCCAGTCAAGATGGAGAACTTTGCAAGGGAGTTTTATGAAAATCTTTGTTCATTAGAAGGGGTACATGACATGGAAACAGGTCTCAGAGCACGTGCCACAGAATGCATTCTTAGTGAAGCTCTATACAGAAGAAGAAGTGAAGAAAGCCTTTATCCAAATGTTTTCGGCCAAGGTTCCAGGACCGGACAGGTTTCGCGTCCAATTTTTCAGCGTCACTAGGACGTGTGCGGTAAAGAGATCACAAGAGTGATTTTGAGAATTGTCAAGGGGGGAGAGGGCGCTAATCCATCAATGACATTGTCTTGTTCTCATACCAAATGTAGCAAATCCTTTTTCCCTCTCACAATTTAGACCGATTAGTTTGTGCAATGCCCTCTATAAGATTGCTTCAAAAGTTGTGGCTAACTATGTCAAGGTTATTTTCCATAAAATTATTTCACAAGAACAGTCAGCTTTTGTTCTTGGTAGACTCACTACAGACATATAAGTATTACATTTATGAAGAGGAATAGATCCACGACCAATAGTTATGCTGCTCTTAGATTGGATATAATGAAAGCTTATGACAGGGTCGAGTGGCAATATCTCGAGGCTATAATGTTGAAGCTTGGGTTTAACCATCAATGGGTTAATGTGGTTATGGTAATGGTCAGGTCAGTTTTATTCAATAGTAAGAAGCTTGAGGAGTTCAGACCATCTGTAGGTATTCTACAGGGATATCTCCTTTCACCCTACATTTCCTTATCAACAGTGGGGCCTTTCGCACCTATTGGAATCTAGTCAATCATCTCACTTGAGCGGGACTAAGGTGGCTTCAATATTGTTTACATCAAGGGACCACCTTGTTTAGAGAGAGAGAAAGGTCGCGGGCTAAAAGCCTGGATGGGCCGGTTTGTGTGCGCTTGGGCCGAACAACGTTTCGGTCCAGGGAAATAGTTTCTATTTATTTATATAATTTACAGCTAGGGTTTGGGGGGGGGGGACTTATCCAAATGCAATCATAAAAAATCATAACATTAGCTAGACTCATATAGAGCTATGTGAACATTTATTCTGGCTAAAAGCAATTTTATAAATACATGTTTCATGCAATAAAGTAAATTTGACAGTAATGATAATTCCCTAAATTATTTTTAGGGTGTATTAAATGTTCAAAATGTTTCTAAGAACTCCAAAAAATTATTTAAAACACTTCCCAAATATTTAATACTGAAGAAGTCAAATTATCTTCTCTCTTTTATTTTCTTTTTAAATGAGAAATTGTTTGAACAAATTCCAAATAAACTATCAAGTGCAATAAAATTTCAAATGGGCATTTTGGGAAAGTCATCTCATTCCTTCTCTTTTGAAGATTCAAATAAACTCTCAAAAGCTTCAAATTCAACTGAAATTCAAATAAGTTCAAAGCAAAAAAAATCATTATTATATAATTAGATAACAATCCAAGATTTAAATTTTTGGGATGTTACAAAAATTGTCCTGGAGGCCCATGAGAGTAAGAGCTCTCTTACTAGCTGTCATTTTATGTATGAAAGTTGGAATTTTAGTTTCGAAGCTCATAGATCAGCAAAACACACTTCTTCGTTGGGGATTGGTCATTATGTCTAGTTGGGCCTTCCATATGATGGTACTTGTAAACATCCATATTATTGATCAAATAAAAGCATGTGTTTTTCCTAAAGAGAATCAAGGCGGGTTCCGCCACCGTAAGGATTAGCTAAAGGAAATGTCGATGAAGTGATCTTTGTGACAAACAAAAAGGGTATAGGAACTGCTATTTTTAGGTCTGGAACTTGTGAGTTGATGGGGCTTCAGTTCTGGTGTATAGAGGTGTCACAGAGCCAGCATGCATGGAAGCGATGGCATGCCGAGAGGCACTATGCCTAGCATGATATCAACCCGTGCGGAAGTAGTGCGCGCAATTCATGAAGGAAGCAAATGATTGCATGCCGTGATTATCAAAGAGATTAGCAGTATGAAACTTTTAGCAGGAGATTTTCGTTTTTGGATATGAGGAGGGAAGATAATGTTGATGCTCACAACATCGCGCAACCTTCCTTAGCTTTAGCACCAGACTAATATCGTTGGATTTTGGATCCCGGGGCTATGTAAAACCTTCCCTAAAGAAAATCTCCCTCGGGTTCAGTTCCGATTTGTGAGATTTTGGACATCTGGACTTGTCAGGACATTCGGTGACTCCTGTTAGATGGCCAAAAGTGTCCGAACCTGAATTTAGGGCGATTTGATGATCCGGTTGGAGCTTGTCGGCGGAAGGGAGCGGCGCACTGCCGCCCGGCGGGATCATCTTCTTCCCAATGGCCGGCGCCGACCGTGGTTCCTCCCCTCCGCCGGCAGGGCGTCTCCGGTGCGGCGCAGCGGTGGCAGAGCGGAGGTGGGTGGGCCAAGCCGAGCCCGAGAGCAAAAAAGGAAAGGACGGGCCCAGCAACCAGCTGGCCAACCAAAGTGGGCTTCCACTCCGGCCGGCCCACGAAGCTAGCCTGGCCCATACGACCGGTCCGTTGCGTCCGTCCTACAAAACTCCGCATCCCCCCGTCCCCGCTGCGCAACGGACCGTAGCGTAGCGGAGCTTCCCTCCTCCCCTCCTCAACCTCCGCTCCGGGGGCCCTCGCCCTCGCCCTCGCCGTCGCCGCCGCCGTCGCCGGCCGGAGTGAAGCGCCGCCCGCGCTCCACGGGTAAGCAATCCCCGCTCCACCCCCCACCGAATGCACGCGAACCCCCTCCCCCGCTCGCTCGCCCGCGCCGCACCCCCCACCCCAGAGCGCGCCCCCGCGCGCGACTGCTCGGCTCGGCTCGGCTCGAGAGGCCCTGCCGCGCCCTGGTCGGCGGGGCCTCGCGCGGAAGCCGCGGAGGCGGAACCCCTGCACTGCGCTCCTCTCTCTCGCCCTTCCCCGACCAGAGCCGAGCGCGCCGCGCGCGCGCGCGGGTGCTCCGCTCGGCCCTGCTCGGGAGGCCCTAGCCCGGTCTTCGTCGACGCCGCGCGCGTCGCGGCGGCCGAGCTCTCGCGCGTCTCCCTCTCTCGCTCTTCTCCTACCTACCAGAGCGTGTCGTCGGTGATTTCCTGCTGCCGTTGCTGACCGATTCCGTTTCGCCGTCTCTTGCTGATGAACCTGCAGGGCACGCGATGGCCGCCGAAGGGGACGAAGAGGGGGCCGCGGCGCCCAAGGTGGTCGGGCTGGCGCTCAGCGGCTCCAAATCCGGCGCGCACGTCCTCCGCTGGGCGCTCGGCAACTTCGCCAATGCCGACGCCCCTCCCGCCGCCTTCAAGCTCATCCACGTCCTCACCCCGGTCCTCGCCGTGCCCACGCCACGTACGCCACGCAGCGGCTCTTCACGCCCCGCCGCTCCTTCCTCCTCGTCGCCTCCTCGCGTTCGAGTTTGCTTTCGCCGTATGCATGCATGCTCACCATCTGTTTGTGTTTGTGCCTGTGCCTGTGTACCTTCAGTGGGGCACCTCCTCCCGATCGACGAAGTCAGCACCAGCGTCGCCGAAGGCGAGCTCGAGAAAATGTGGATCGAGAAGCAGGAAATGCTGCAGCGCTGCAAAGACACATGTGACCAAAACAAGGTTGGTTTGGGTTAGCAAGCACTCCTGCCTTTGCATTCCATGTTCTAGACTGAATCTGAATGAATGAATGGATCAATGGATCGACCCCCATTTCATGTTCTATGTTGGTTGGACTTATGCGTTTATTTAATTGGCTCAGGTTGACTTGCCTTGACAAGCAGTAGTACTCCATTTCCATTTCATACTCTGTTGGTTGAATTTATTTGTTCATGTACTAGCACTAGGCCCAGGTTGACCTGCCTTAACAAGCATATCTCCATTTCCTATTCTAGACTGGCTGAATGAATGCATCAACCCCTTGTCTGCTGGTTGAATTTATCTGTTTACTTAGTATACTTGGCCCAGGTTGACTTGCCTTAACAAGCATGTCTCCATTTCCTATTCTAGGCTGGCTGAATGAACGCATCAACCCCTTGTCTGATGGTTGAATTAATTTCTTTACTTACTTGGCTCAGGTTGAAGCTCAAGTACTGCTTGTTGAGGGTAAGGATGTCGCGGATACCATTTCCAGTCTTGTTTCTCAGTACCAGATACAGAGCCTCGTTGTCGGTGACCCTTCCAGCAAGAGCCCATTCAGGTAGCTCCTCGTACTCATTCTCATACCTGTACTGTACTGATTCGTGATGAACAATAATTAATGTGCGTGCTCCTGTTGACCATTGGATCTTACAGGAGGTCCAGTGCAAGTAGGACGGCCTGCAAAATTTGCAAGAGTCTCCCCAGCTTTTGCACAGCATATGTTGTTTCAAAGGATGGGTTGTCTTCAGTTCATGCTCCTGTTCCAGAAAGTGGCTCGCCCTCTAGCTCTCCAGCACCAACAGGCAACTCTGGGAGCTCCAGCACCAAAGAAGTTACAGATGGGACGTCCTCAAGATCAGGTAAGGCCCCATAGGCATCAACCTATCACCAAATATTTCTCACGTATGTTCCCTTTCTGTGCATCTTTCGCGTGCAATGTATTCCTTCCCGTTTCTCATTGCTGCTGGAACTGTGAAACTGCAGCAAGCTTGCATGAAGACATTAGCCTGTTATTGTTTCTAGTACTTGGCTTAAAAGTATAATCTCAAATGCAAAGATAGACAAGTTGGAGTTGCTTATTTCCCCTTCTCATCATCTGAATGTTACCTGTTCCCCTGTCTCATCAGATTTGGATGGCAGTTCAGCGCCGGGCCTGCCTAGTTTTACTCTGAACGATTATCTCACTGGAAATGCACCAGTATATGCCAACAAGGACAGAAGAATTGCCTCACGCACTGGTGCTGAAAGCTCTATATTAAGTCAATTGCGGGGTTCGGACAAGGTGCCAACAAGTTCACTGCATGAATTAATGCTTTCAGACAACAAGGTTGGTGGTGCAATTTCTTGGTTATTGACAGACTTCTAATTATATGAACGTCTTCATTGAAACTATATTTACGCGTCGAACACATAGCTTTCGCTTTGAATTTTTTTCCTAGATAATACTTCATACATAAAAAGTTCCCCAGTTTTTTGTTTGCTAACTTTGCAACAGTAATTTCTTTTCCTCCAATCTGATTGATAACGAGTTACTATGGAGTTGACACGTGCCTTATGGATCTTGAATTATTATAGATGCATTCGTTGATTAGGCCAATTGACTGTTGCTCTGGAAAAAAGAGGTGAATGGAATATGGTATGTTTCGGGGATTGCACTCTAACTCTGCTCTGATCTGATAACCTGTCCCATTGCAGGATGATGCCAGTACAGAGCTTGAAAAGCTGAACCTTGAACCAAGTCATAATAGGCTGCTGGCAACGGCATCCAAGGACGCTAATAGGGAGTCGAGGCTGGAGAAGCCCCTTGTACTTCCAAGCGACTCGTACTCAATGTTCACTTGGGAAGAGATTGATAATGCTACAGCGTCATTCTCACTCAAGATCGGAACTGGGTCTAATGGAACGGTATACAAGGGCCATCTCAATCACTTGGATGTAGCGATAAAGGTCCTTCATTCTGATGACAAATCCAGTACCAAGCATTTCAACCAAGAGGTAGTATTATTTATTTGCTGAACTCATCCTGTGCTTCTTCTTCTTCTACTTCTAGTGAACTGTTTTTTTATTAGGCAGCACTGTGTGTGTGTGTGTTTTAATGGCCTTTTCATCATGACATAGCATCTTGAGAAATTTTTATGTCAAAAGTTATTAAGTGACAATGTTCAAAAAAGGTTGATGCAAGTGCACTCTGTTTCTGCAGCTTGAGGTTCTGAGCAAGATACGCCACCCACACTTGCTGATGCTCCTGGGAGCCTGTCCGGACAGGGGCTGCTTGGTGTACGAGTACATGGAGAACGGCAGCCTTGCGGATCGTCTGCAGCGCAGAAAGGGCACACCATCGATCCCATGGTTTGATCGCTTCCGCATTGCCTGGGAAATTGGGTCAGCCCTGGTGTTCCTGCACAGCACAAAGCCCAGCCCAATCATCCACCGTGACCTGAAGCCTGAGAACGTCCTCCTCGACCGCAACCTAGTGAGCAAGATTGGCGATGTGGGCCTGTCAACCCTGATGCCACCCAAGGAGACTCTGTCAAACCGCACGGTGTACAAGAAGACGGGCCTGGCAGGCACACTGTTCTACCTGGACCCGGAGTACCAGAGGACCGGGCAGGTGTCGGTGAAGTCGGACACGTACGCGCTCGGCATGGTGATCCTTGAGCTGCTGACGGCAAGGTGCCCGATCGGACTGCCTGAGGTGGTGGAGCGAGCAGTGGAAGAAGGGCAGATTACCGATGTCTTGGATGAGAGCGCGGGGGACTGGCCCGTGAGGGAAGCGCATGACCTCGCTCAGCTAGGCCTGAATTGTTTGGAGATGCGGAGCAGGGACCGGCCTGACCTCAACAGCGTGGTGCTGGAGGAGCTGGGACGGCTGAAGCGTATCGCGGCCAGCGTGTCGGGGGTGGCACTGCCAGGGTCACCCAGTCACTTCAAGTGCCCAATACTCAAGGTACATACAGTAGAGTGATGTCGTCCCAGTGTGTGTTTGTGTCATAGATAGACTGATTTTTTGGTTAAAATTAGCATGCATGTGGATGTGTGACTGATAGCTTATTGTGTGTGTGTGTGTTTGGTTGCAGACGGTGATGTATGACCCGTGCATCGCGTCGGACGGGTACACGTACGAGCGCAGCGCGATGGAGATGTGGCTGTGCGACGAGGACGTGTCGCCGGTGACCAAGGCGCGGCTGTGTGACAAGACGCTGTTGCCTAACCTGTCTCTCAAGAGCGCCATCATGAGGTGGGTGGCCGAGGGGGGGAGGCCCGTGAAGGAGTAAGGCCACACTAATGGTAAATACCACGAAGCTAGTCTAACAGAAGAGAGCGCTGCACATATCATGGGGGCTTGGTTGGGTTAGGAGACAAGGCTGATGGTATTGGTATTGGTACCGAGAGTAGAGTGCACATATCATGGGGACTTGGTGTCAGCTGCTTCTGCATAACGTCAAGGAGCGATTTTGCAACGATACTATCATACTACTAGAGTAGGCAAGTCGTGGAGATGTCCAGGAGAAGAGAGGAAACCCTGAGTTGAGTTGAGTTGGTCTTACAAATAGAGAATACGGAAAATTTTGGTTGGATTGGATTGGATTGGATGGATGCCGAGGTTATGTATGGCATTGGAACCTTCTTGGATGATATATGGCTTTGTCCTTTGCTGTTGTTGGCCTTGTGCTGTGAAGCCAGATTGGGATGAGACGAATGGAATGTGGATATCTTTTTGGGCACGGGATTAAAATACATAGTTGCTGATTTTCAGCTGACTGGAAACAACCGGCTTTCAGTCAGATTTCTTGTCCGTCCGATCATTGCGCTTGGGTTGTTCGTTTTCTGTTTCACGGGTTTGCGCCTGGACGGTTTTGTCTGCACATTATAACCCATGGTTGTCATGCTTTGTGGCTTGGTGTCCTTGAGCTGCTTTGGCTTGTGTTTTGCTGCCCCCGATTGGATAGTTTGCTAGGTTTGGGGGCTGGCCTAGGGTATTTAGGCATTTTGTTTTTGCTCCTCTATGTGCAAGTAGTTCAGAGATAGCTAGGTTTGTTTTGTGTCTGTAGCTCTGCAATTCAGGGATTAATACCAATCCCTGAATGACATTCTGTGCCAGAGAGTAGTGCAGAAAGGCTGCACGCCATGCACATAAGTGTTTCGAAACCAGACTTTGGCAAAACCCCCCAGAGCAGGTTATTCGATGTCTTGGTGGAAGCAACTCCGAGTCTGAGAGATAGCAGTTTCTAATCAGTGGGTGTTTGGTGCGCAGCATCTTTAATTCCTCTCTCTTTTCACTTCATATCGGCGATGGCACGCCGAGCAGTGCATCATGATCTAGTTCGACTCGTCTGCGCAGTTGAATGGTTTGGCAGGTGGTGGCGTTTCCGGCAAACCTAGCAAGTCCAAGCTGAAAGGAGCTGCTCGTCAATGAGTGGCTACATGTTGAAGACCTTGACACATGCATCTACTTGGCACCTTGAGGACTCTATAATGATTCCATGGTGGGTAAACAGATCAAGATGATCACCTGTGCATCGTATTCCACTGTAAGAAAGGAAAGCTCTTGCACATTGCAAAAATTGCTGTATATATGATGGCGCGTAACCATATTTCATCAATGATTAATTAGTTAATCTGTGCCTGGAGAGAGGCATTCTCTTTATCTTGCTGGAATGCATGAGAAGCCAAGTGGACCTCCATAGTAGCTTGGTTAATTGCTTGTACAAGACGATGTGCCAACGAAGAATGGTATATGTTGTTGGATTTAGAAGATTTCTCTTCTCTAGCCTGGAAGCTAAGGGGGGAAGCTAGGGATTTCTGGAAGAACCTCATCTCACGATTCATTCCTCTTTGCCCCAGTATATACAATTTACATTTACATTTTAACCCCTCTCACTTTCCTATCTGCAACTAACTCCTCACAACACTCCCCCTCAAGATGGAGTGAAAATGTCTAAGAGCCCCATCTTGCCACACAACTTAAAGAAGGATACAACACTCACGCCCTTTGTTAATACATCAGCAAGTCGGTCTCCAGTTTTGACAAAACCTACTTGAAGTACCCCCTCATCAAGTTTCTCCTTAACAAAATGTCTATCGATTTCGATATGTTTTGTTCTATCATGTTGAACCGGATTGTTGACAATGTTGATTGCGGCTTGATCATCACAATGGAGCCTGAGTGGTCCTCCTTTAAACAACCGAAGTTCGGTTAATAATAATCGAAGCCATAATAACTCACATAGCCCTGAAGCCATGGATCGCAGCTCTGCTTCTGTCGTGGATCTGGGGACAACACTTTGCTTCTTACTCCTCCAACTGACAAAATTTCCTCCCAAGAAGATGCAATAACCTGAAGTGGATCTCCTGTCGTCCAAGAACCCAGCCCAATCAGGGTCTGTGTATCCCTTAACTTCTAGATGCCCATGGTTGGAAAGGAGAATTCCTTTTTGAGGACAACCTTTGAGATCCCGCAGAATTCTATTTACTGCATCTAGATGACCTGATCGAGGATCATGCATATATCTACTCACCAGGCTTACAGCATATGCAATATCTGGTCTAGTATGGGATAGATAAATTAAACGTCCCACAAGTCTCTGGTATCTCCCCCTATCAACAGGTTCTCCTGAATTGGCTGTAATACGAAGGTTTGGCTCAATTGGTGTGGCCGCTGGTTTACTTTCAAGCATCCTAGTTTCAGCGAGAAGATCAAGCACATATTTTCTTTGAGATAGATAGATACGTTGAGCTCCATAAGCTACTTCTATTCCCAGGAAGAAGTGGAGGAAGCCAAGGTCTTTGACTTCAAATGACTTCGCCAACGTCAAGTTCTTTATCTCCACATCAGCGTTCCCTGTGATCACAATGTCATCAACATATACGACTAATATGACAGTTTTATTTTCATGGTGCTTAAAGAAAAGGGTATGGTCAGCATTGCTTTGTTGAAAACCCAAAGTGCAGACTTCCTTGTAAAATCTCCCAAACCAAGCCCTTGGTGACTGTTTAAGTCCATAAAGTGATTTCTTCAATCTATACACTTTACCCATTGTCTCCGGCCCACTGAACCCTGATGGAATCTCCATATAAACTTCTTCTTTCAAATCTCCATGAAGAAATGCATTCTTCACATCTAGCTAAAACAACTTCCACTTGTTATTTGCTGCCACCGAGATTAAATCTCTAATGGTGTTCATCTTTGCAACTGGGGCATCATAGTCCACTTCATATGTCTGGCTATAACCTTCCGCCACAAGTATCACCTTATATCTATCTACTTTCCCTTCGGGTGTATGTTCTATGGTAAACACCCATTTGCAACCTACCACTTTCTTGTTACAAGGAAGTGGAGTAATTATCCATGTATTGTTCTTGTCGAGAGCAGACATCTCCTCAAGCATTACTGCCCTCCATTTTGGGTTTAATTTTGCCACCTGCTAGTCCCGTGGTAAGGGTTCTATAGAATCCAGCGCTGCAATAAAGGACTTGTAAGAAATACCAACAATGTCATAAGAGACATAGTTGGAAACATTATAAGGATCCAATTTAGAGGGCAATTTTCTAGCACTAGCTCGTGGTTGCTTTCTATAAGCTATTGGGACATCAAGGTCGTCATATTGAGAAGAGATGTTACCACTGTCCAAGGAAGGTTCAATATCACTAGTTTGAACTTGAGTATTGTCTTGTTGGTTAGCCTCCTTCTCTTGCTCACCGTATTGCCCATAAGCCTCGGGCTCAGGTTCCAACACTTGCATCCATTCCTCCTCAATACGACGTCTTCGGGTATACACATGAATCTCCCTTTCCTCATTTGGTTTTGGCCACTGGAATGCTTCACTTGATGTATCATGCTACTGATCATGTCTTCGTTCTTGCTTTGTTTCCACTAGAATTACCCCAATTATCATCTTTCTCGATGTTGCATCATCTTCCTCTTCCTTATCTCCCCCTGTCTCACAATCCACATATAAATTTTCATTAGCAAACAAACCAGGGAAGACATCAGTTAAATCCGTCGGTTCACCATAAAATGGTTCCTGCTCCCTGAATACCACATCCATACTCACAAACATTCTCCTTTCAGATGGACACCAACATTTATATCCCTTCTGCTTACCAGAGTACCCCACGAATACACACTTTAATGCCTTTGGATCTAGCTTGCCAACTGATGGTCTATAATCCTTCACAAAACAAACACACCAAAAGACCTTAGGTGGAACCACATATTTTGTTTCACCCGTTAGACACTCTAACGGTGTTTTATAACCAAGTACCCTAGATGGCATTCTATTCATCAAGTAAGCAGATGTCATTACAGCTTCACCCCACAAAAACTTAGGAACATTCATAGATACCATTATGCAACGAGTGATTTCCAGAAGATGTCTATTCTTCCTTTCTGCCAAACCATTCTGCTACGAAGTACCTGGAAAAGTTGTGTGATGAATAATCCCAAAACTGGATAAGTAGTCATCAAATTCCTTGTTCACATACTCTGTGCCATTATCAGTGCGAAATGTTTTCACACAAGCATTATACCACGTTCTGATCATATTATGAAAATCAACAAAGCATTCAAACACATCGTTCTTGTTCTTCAACACATAAACCCAAGTTACTCTAGTACAACAGTCAATAAAGGTAACAAATGAGCGATATCCATTTAAAGATGAAACTCCACTAGGACCCCACACATCAGAATGTATAACTTGAAGTGGCGTGTCACTTCTATTATCAAACGATGTATAGGAGCTACGTGTTTGTTTACCATATTGACAAGCGTCACATACTAAACTCCCTTGGTTAACTTTACTATAAAGAGCAGGATAAAGCCTACCAAGGGCGACAAAAGACATATTTCCTAGCCTGCGGTGGTGAAGAAGGAATTCATCAAGTGGTGAAAGGGATGCAACAGCTGCAACCACAGGTGGCACATCATTATCCAGATAATACAGTTCATCATGCATGATCCCCATCCCAAGTCTTCTTCCAGTCCAAGTTCCTGAAACAAGCACCATGATGGAAAGAAGATAGCAACACAATAAAGTTCATTTGTGATGCAACTGATGGATAGTAGATTTATCGGGAACGAGGGAACATGCAAAACAGATGACAAAGACATATCCGTGCTACACATAATTGTCCCTGATCCCATAATGGTTTGGGAGGGGACATCGGCTAATTTAACGGTTTGCTTATTTAAATCAGGAATATAGTCAATTAAATTTTTGTAGGAACCAGCCATATGTCTAGATGCACCCGAATCTAATAACCATGGTGCACC